TTCCTAGTTCCCGGCGGGCTCTGCCTCCAGCTAGCCGGCGGCTCCAGTGCGGCCGCCGGGTTTTTCTGCTGCAGGCCGCTCAGTCCCGGTGGCCGTACGGTCTCCTCTGTCCTTCACTGTCCCCTCCATCCTCCGGTTACCCTCTCTCTGTCCTCCTCAGTCTCTGGGGCCGCGTGGTCCCCCGCTGACCTTCGTCCTGGCGCTCCATCCTCCACCAGTTCCCCTCTGCCTTCCTCCCCGATGCCCCTCTATTCCCAGGACCGTCCGTTACCTTCGTCCGAGTTACCCATGGGCGGGGGCACGCGGGCTGGCGGGTGACAACCCCGCAGGTGTGGTGAAGGGACTGCAGGGTTGTCGGGGGCTCTCGGTGATGCACGGACATTCTGAGGGTTGTATCTGGACCCCTGGGACCTGCTCTTCCAAAGTCTGTCTTTGAGCGCCTCTGGGCACCTATTTAACCTGAGGGTCAGATACGCTCAGATTCTGTGGAATAAATTTTGCCTTTAGATGATAGGAACGTTTCTAAGGTTTCTTACCTGTGGGATCAAGAGTTTTAGGATGGGACACAAAATCCAGTCTTTAGGTTTTAACTAGTCTCCCTCTGCAAGATGATCTGTTGCCAGTTAACTTTTAGGACCCAGGGATCAGTAACTTGAAATGTCCTTTTACTTGTTGCTTGTGCTACTACAGCCCTCATTCTAAGAAAATGAATCTACTTCTAATTAGGAGAAATCTGTTTATCTTGTAAAGGGCAACCTCAAAGAACTCTCACCAAGGTTAACAACTAGGTTTTCTCAAGAATGTAAACAATTTAAATTAGGTCAAAGCTGACATTCAAAGTGGTTTGTTTTGTTTTGTTTTCCATATAAATTATCTCCTAAAATACACCATAATGTAAATTTCCAAGAAAAATGCCAACAACACACAGAATGGACATTTCCAAATTCAACATGGAAAATTGAGTGCTAGCTACTATCGTTTATTTCATAATAGAGTTTAATGAATATCCCTTTTTTAAAAAAAACTTTTAAGATGGAGGATATGAAGTAACTTTAAAGGTTTTTTTATATTAAATTTTAGAGGATTATAGAAGATATAACAGAATTATGAGCTCATAAGATTCTGGGCAGGGAATTTTGTAAATCAAAAGTTAGGAAAGGTTATTGCCTTATTGTATGTAGTCTGTTAAGATCCACAAAATGAACTGCTAAGAGTTAATACTGTTGTGTTCCAGATTATTTACCTCAGGTGACTAAGAGACAGGTAAGGCCCACCATAAAGACACACCCCTTGAATCAATTTCCAGGAGTGGAAATGGCTTTGCTTTGAGCCAGCCTCCAACGGGTAGCTGGTAATATTTGGGAAATGGTTCTAATGGGGACAGGGTTTACTTAGTAATTAGCAGCAAACTTGTGATCTTGAACCCAGTCACATTACCAACACAGCAAACCTAAAGCTAAAGGCTAGACATCTTAGAACACACGAAGAGTAAGCTGAGGAGAAAAGATACAGCCAGGTCAAGGAAGTGCTGATGGCTTTAGCAAAGGTTCCCTGTGTATTGCATTTGAGTGTCCTGGTGAGGGTATGATGACTTTCTTTGGGGACAAATTTTTTTAATAAGTTTATCTATATTCCTATAGAATGTGAAGTCATCCTTTCTCATATATACATTACCTAGTACTTAGAAGATTATATAGTTTATTTTTACAAGAGTGAATCTGAATGGACATAGCCCAGATATAACTATTTTCTTTTTCTTTTTTTGAGAGGTTTTTGCTATAGGGTGCATGCGCTCGCCAGACAGAGAGAGACAGAGAGACAGAAAGCGAGAAATTACCCCCCAACGGGGGATGACCACGTCACAATCCCTTCTCCTCCACTCTTCTCTCGGAATCTTGGGCACGCACGCACATGCGCCCTGCATGAGTTTAAGCCGCTGGGCCCGGGACTCGAACTGTGGTTGACTACATGGGAGTTCAGCAACATAGCCATTACACTAACTGCTGGTCCCAAGATATAACTGTAATTTTCAGAAAGAAAAGGTTTTAGAACAAGTACATATGTAGACTGAATTCCAAATAAAAATATTTGTGTGACTATATAACTATTTTCTTTTTCTTTTTTTGAGAGGTGTTTGCTATAGAGTGCATGCGCTCGCCAGACAGAGAGAGACAGAGAGACAGAAAGCGAGAAATTACCCCCCAACGGGGGATGACCACGTCACAATCCCTTCTCCTCCACTCTTCTCTCGGAATCTTGGGCACGCACGCACATGCGCCCTGCATGATTGGGCCCGGGACTCGAACTGTGGTTGACTACATGGGAGTTCAGCAACATAGCCATTACACTAACTGCTGGTCCCAAGATATAACTGTAATTTTCAGAAAGAAAAGGTTTTAGAACAAGTACATATGTAGACTGAATTCCAAATAAAAATATTTGTGTGACTGGGTTAGCCCTGTATCCAGAAGTTAAGGGAGTCAGATCCCATAAGGCTGACTGGTTCAAATCCCAGCCCCACTGACTTGGACAACATGCTGTATGTGTGTGCGTGTGCCCAAAATCCTAATCAGAAGGTGAAACGGGGAAAAAGGGTAGAGGCATGACCAAGCTCCATTGGGATTACTTATCTCCTTCTCTTTCTCCACTTCTCTCCTCTCTTTCTCTCTCTCTGATGAGTGCACATGCCCTCTGGCAATGAAAAAAAAATTACTTAAAAACTTTTATGACTTCCTGCAGCCACCATTAGGCATTCGACACATTATTCGACACATTACTCACACCTTATGACTGGCCAAATACTGGTGTATGTAAATTCACAAAATAGGCCAAAGTCTCTGTAGTGTCGGGGCTAGGCAGGCAGGCAGGAGATTCTAGATGTCTTAGTGCAAAGGCATTACCAATGCTAAGTATGTGACTATATTATCAGTAATTAGCTTTGTATGTTAAAAAGAATATGCAAGGTATCTGAGCAATACTAATTGCATCTGATTTTTAAAAAGAGCAACAAAGAAGACTAGAGTCATTCATCAGGAGAAAGTATGGCTTGGTGTCAAAGATGGACTTCAAACTCTAATTATCCATACTCAGTGTGTGGCCTAGGTCACAATATTTAAATATGAGATAAAAATTTCTATTGAAATTAGTTTGATGTAATTAGAAGAGATAGTGTACTAAAATCCCTTGTTTATATAAAATAGTACTAATTCAATAAATTGAAGGCAACATTCACTTATCAATATGTTTCTTAGATTGTTCATAATACGTAATTTATAATCCCACCTTTCTTTTTAACAGAAAAATGAACATAGATGATAAACTAAAATCAATTTCACAGGTTTCATAGCAAATCAGAGACAAAGTTGGGCTACAGTTGTCCAATAGCACTACAAGAGCTTCTCTGTCTTCCTCCACACTGAAGATTATGGCTCGCCTAATCCCTTCTCATTCTACCAATAATGAGGAGAAAATAATAAACCCCAGTTGGTGGGCATGACTCACTCTGGACTTATTTCTACCTGTTCAGCTTTCAGTTGTCAAGCCACCCATCAACACCACCATCTTGGGAAATCAAGAACCATTCTGGATGACTACCCCAGGCTCCTTTTCACATTACTGGATGACAGAGGCATCTGCCCTCCCATGCAATCCTGTGTTACTTCCTTACATCACCAGTGTCATGCCACCTCCACAACCACTGCTACTTTCTTTTATCTCTTCTCATACTTCCAACCTGACCTATTATTTAAAATAATGTTTGCATTTTATATCTTTCAACTTAATTGAAAGGCTAATAGGATGATACACTGGTTTTGAGAATGTTCAATCTGCCTGTTTTCTGAGATCATTCAAGAAGGACTCTTAAGAGAAGGCTTATAAATCTGTTCCAAATATAATTCCAATAATGCCATTAATTAAATCAACAAAGAGTGCCCCAACTGTTGGACAAGAAGCTGGTTTTGTTTTGCTTTTGGTATGATTACCAATATATTTCCTATCCTAGAGCAAATTAATTAAGCTTTTATCTGTTTCTTTTGGTCATGGTGTAGAATACAATTGTTCAAAAGGGCTTTTGCATATTTACGTGATAGATGTAAAATGTTCCTATTTATTTAGTACTTCATTTGTAGATAGCTCTAATAAAATCGTGTGAGTTGTCTTTTCTCTAGAGGTCTGTGAACTTTTACTGAAAAAAATTTAGTACATGCCAGTTCAGGCACTCACTCTTTAAAATAATTGTTAGTGCTGAGAATATCTAATGAAGAAAAATGTCTTATTGATAGTTTTCAACTTAATTTATCAACAAATGGAATGTGCTTAGTATAATGACCATAATATTTCTGGCATATTGGTGGGAGGAAATTTATATATATCTAAGACTTTTGTTATAGTAGTCTTCTTTTTATTTTTAAAAATTTTGAACTTTTTTATCTTGATCACTTATATATATCTGTTAAGATATTTATTGAACAGCTGTTTGTCTTGGTATTTATTAATAGGTAAAAAGGGTAAGCTATGACATATCTTTTTACTAATGATAGCCAAATTTTTAAAAATAAAAGTACTTCAATGACAGTATGTGGAAGGAAGACTGATGAGAGGGGAGAGAGATTTTGGAAAGGGAGATCA